TATAATATAAATATAATATATCGATTAACGCTTCTTTGTGAAACGACAACCTGTGCACCTCAATTCAATTCAAGGCTAATTATTTCCTGAACAGTAATGTCAATGATTCATTAAAAATGGTCTAATAGTACATTATTATTTAAATTCTTTCTTGTTCGACATATCTATTCCAGGGGCAACTAAGTATCTCTCTCCCTCCCTCTCTCTCTCTCTCTCTCTCTCACACACACACACACACACACACACACATATACTCTCCCCTTGCTCTCTCTCTCCCCCTCACTCTCTCTCATTCTCTCTCACTCTCACTCACTCTCTCTCACTCATAAGAGATAGGATGTTGACGACTGAAGGTAAATCAACATTTCACTGAATTGATGTCTGAATTTAGAAACATTGAATTCAAACACCCATCACACGGGAAAATGTAAACTTTGTAGATCCTGACTAGTTATACTCCTGCAAAGGAAGTCAACAAGTCCAGAAACTCACTAAAACATGATGGAAATAAATATACATCAATTCTAAAGATGCTGGGATGAACTTACGTCTGGCGCGAATTGAGGGAGAAGCAGGCGCCTCGGCTGGTCGTCAGGGGCCGGAAGTTGGAGCAACAGTCGAAGGGCACACCGTTCCACAGACAGCTCGCGAAAAGGCGGTCACACGGCTTAAGAAGCTGGCAATGAAGACCCAAAAAGTCGTTAAAATTGCAATGAAACGCCCAGAAGGCTTTGTCAAGCCAAGCCGTATAATTTAGTTATATGTAGTGGATAATACTAATAGTAGTAGTTATAATAATAATAATAATAATAATAATAATAATAATAATAATAATAATAATAATAAAAGGCGTGGGAATAGAAGAATTGTAAATGTAGCAAAAAATGCCAAGAAAACTACAATGGTGGCAGAATAACACAGACTAGTGACCTGCGGCAGCAAAAGTTATGCTGAACGAAACCACTAAAAATGTTTTTTCAAAAGTAGCACACACTGCCCAAGAACAGCAAATACATTACTCTTGTAGAATACGCCAATAAATTAAATATTTTAACAAAAATGTTCTTAAGAATACTTCAATAATATAATATGGTATATATACAGTACAAGTTCTTTACGTATAAAGAATATCAAAACTAGTGTTGTCACAACAGCATATCATTTTCTCGCATTATTTGTAACGGCTACTTCTACATGAACATGCAAAAGGTTTTTCAAGCAGCAAACACTTCTGCTGTGCATTGACTCAAACTCAGGTATACAGAGTTCACACGTCATACCCCTTACCGCTACACCAGACAGCCGCTCTGACCAACTTGGCCCACGCTTAAAAATAATTGTCTCGCCCAATATTTCCATCACGTAATTTTCAAAAATTCAGAGAGATTAATGCAAATATTTGAAGAAAAAAGGAACGGTTTTTAAGAAAATGTTTTTAATGCATGAATTTCAAACACAAATTACTCGAAAACTACTCTCTTTTTTTCCCCAAAAATTGCACGTGACTTTTTTTAAAGGGATGATTTTTTAGAACATATTTTGTTAAAAGCAAAAATCTTCAGCTACAATTTTGTACTTTTGAAACGTAAAATGTTTGCGACTTTGCCGGAAATGGGACCTACTCCAACTTTTTTACCAACCTTGGATACTTACGAGGAGCAGTTTTCGAGAAAATGATTTTCTTTATAAATTACATTAATTTCACGCACAAATTACGCGAAAACTACTCGTTTTTTAAAAAAAAGATTGTACATCACCTTTCTCAAAAAACTTGTGCACCAGTTTTTGTGCATCGTCTTTTGATAGGTAGGAAGAAAAATTTTGGAGAAAAGTTTGGAGAAGTTTTTAAGAAAAAAGATTTAAAAAGTTAAGAATTGCCCTATTCCACGCAAAATGACACTATAACTACTCATATTCGAGTGAGAAAACTTGCAGCAAGACGCGCTCTACAGAACCAGGAATTTGTAGACGTTTTGGAAGTACTTTCAATACAGCTAATCGAAAATCATTTAATACATTTGCTGAAGAAGGCGTGATCGCGTTGCCGAGAGACACACGAGACAGGAAGGACAACGAAAAAATGGTGCCAAATGTTTTATTCACTGTACAGGCTAAATGGTTCAAATCATCGAGAGAAACGATACAATGTCTGTCTGGATATAGATTCTTTTGTGAACATTTGCTTAGAAAAGACCTGTGAGATACTTAATGTAATGTCTGATGAAACAGCTGAACATGTCTTCACTGAATGTGAGCTACATCCTTCTGGCGTTCCAAACTCTATTACTACAACCAACTAATTCAAGTGAGAGAAATTTTGAGATATTTCGAAGCGGTCTGTCAGAAATTTTGTAAAAACCGAGGAACTGTTTTAAAAACATCCACCAGACTCTCGGAAAGTCTCAATAATAATATTCTTACTCGTGTATACAGAGTGTCTCAGAATAAATAGTCATATGCATTTATACTTGTGGTATTTGTCCCTATTTTTAGGCAACCCCGTATGCACTGATGTTCGGCAGATCACGTTGTGACGCAGTCAGGGGATTTCGTGTACCTGTCGAACTTCTGTACATATAGGTTTGCTTAAATTCAGGGGCAGATGCCGCGTATAAATGCATGTAACTTCGCGATATGTAATTTTCCCACAATGTTCACATCATTTCGACCTTTTTACATGCCCTAGAAGTTTGAAACATTGTAAGTGTCTCAACACCTGTTTATGTATCATGCGGTGCCCAGTTGGTGGGAGATACCTATTTGAGAAAAACCTCGTAAGTTGACGGGTAGCTAGACACTGGATCACACCGTTTGACGAGGGATGATTGCCGCCACCACTCGCAATAGGACAAACACTACACTTACGACATTAATGACCTTCACATTTGACACGCCCGGAATTAATAATTAATTAATAAACCAACGTACGTGGACAATAAGGCAGTGAACTCAAAACCCACGTTAAGACATGAATGTTTTCAATTGTGTTTAAGGCGTCGGGGGTATTCCGAGTCACTCATGCATTACACCTGCACCAAAATCGTTCCATATCGTCTTGCCCTGGCAGACAGCTGGGAGCAATCTGCTTGCATAATTGAGGAACTGAATCCCACACCCAGAATAATGGCACAAGTACCGAGATGAAGCCAAAGCATATCGTTAGTAAATATGTAAAGGTACGGAACCGAGATAGGTCTATGCGATATTCGGGCGCGACGATTCTCTTCACTACACTCCAGAGGAGCATTAGATGCCGCGAGAAGCCCTGGTATTCATTTGAACGCTGCAGAGAATAGGAAACAAACTAGTGCGATAAAGTATGTGTTATTCTGTAGCGCCTTAGTTTTCTTCTGTATCTATATTAGTAATTTCCAATTTGCGCAGAAATTGAAACCGTCCAGTTTCCAACAACGTGAATGGTGTGTATGGTAATTTCACTTTGCGTGTAGAGACTGAATTCTCGTATTCAATGAGTTACTGCTCACTGTGTAGCTGATGACATGCGAAAGCAAGACGTCAAGGAAGAGGCATCCCGTCCTCATAGAATATTTGCTATTGACATGTTGCTTTATGGAACAGCAAGTTTTTATGAAATGATTGGTATGTAAATATCTATTGTGCTACTTATCTACATATACTATACTATGCCTTTGCAGTATTCGTGAACACTGTTTATGTTAAAATATTTAACTTATTGCATTGATACTCGATAGTACTTTATTTGCTGATCTTGAACACTGTGCGTGCTTCCTTCTTGAATGCCATTTCGTGTGATTTTGTTCAGTAGCAATTTTGCTGCTCCAGGCCAGTAGTAGTATTTAATTATTGTCTATAATAACAAATTAATTAAGTACCTCGATTGAATACGTTAACGATAAATGGATAAATGAAAATAGACTCCAAATTCAACAAGATTTTCAAGAAAACCCGAAATCCGCTGGATTCAACACCTTTACGTCCCCCACCCCCACAAGTGCTCTCGAAAACTCTTGGTTGCGCAGCTGTATTTTCATTCTAAATTCACATGATTTAGTTCAAGCTAGCAATTTAAATGACAGTTCTTTCAACAATATTTGTGCGGGGGAGTGTCCGAACCCTTCCTGGGCCCGCTCCGCGAGGGCACCCACCTGTCGCACGCGGCCGGCGGAGGCTGCGTGCCGCGCGCAGGACGCGCAGTGCGGGGGCGGCGGGGGCGGCGGCGTGGCCGGGGGCGTGGCCGGGGGCCGGGACGCGGGCGGCGGTGCCGCCACCGCACAGCCCCGGCAATAGCGCCCGGCCGGCCTCAGCAGCCCCTGCAGGAAATTCGCCAGCAGCTCCTCCTCGCCCGCCTCTGTCTCGGAGGCGGCTGCCTCCTGCAACAGCCTGCGCGCAATTGCAAGTGACAACAATAAATCCATGTACGCTGTTTACATTACCGTATATTGACGAAATGGAACTTGTGATGCTACAACAGCTTATAATTCCTATTGGAGGATTCGAGACCGTAAGGGATATAGTTCACGGGAGGAAAAACAATTAAACCATTAGTTTGCCGACGTTTCGGAATGTTTTTATTCTATCCTCACGGCTTTCTCCGTAATTAAGGTAGTTAGAGCGAGATATTCCCTAGTACATATAGAGTCCGTGTTACCGTTAAAAATATTTATTTGTGAAGTAGGTGGATATAGTGACACCTATATAAACAAAATACGAACACCTTCATTTAATTATTCGAACTAATTTCGTTTCATAGATTCAAAATAAAAATATTTTAATACCACATAAAGACCTATCGTTGACTAGTTTCTTAACTAGTACCAACAGATCGCGTGGCCACGGAATGAAAAATTGAGGCATGAGATTGAACAGAAAAAAAGCACTATTACACAATTAGTAAAAGCAATATCATAAAAAATAACATTTTATACATATACTTATGTTTTTTTTGTACAGTAGTAGCTAATAATGACGAAAATTGCCACGTTTGAATAGGGCGATAAGTCTTTGGTAAATTGGGCAACGCCGCGTATCTGCTCAGAGCTCATGCTTCTTCAAAGTTTCATTGTTTTGAATCACTTTGCTGATCGTTGCCTGACCGACACGCGGTAAATCAATATCTGAGCGAATTGGCGGGAGATTTGTTTCAAAAGCGTAATTTGAGAGAAGATTTCAAATATTTTTCAAAGTTTCTTTCTCGCTAATTTCTATTTCTTGAATTACCTGGACCAATTGTAGCTTAAACTTTATATTATTCGATTGCTTAACAACAAGATCAGTAGTTTGGTCCTTTCCAACATTTATTAATGCTTTACATTGTAAGTTGACAGAAATCCTAATCATTGACTCCTACTTCCTTATTCTCTTTCTTATCCCAATAAAAAAATTCCCCTATTTTATTTTTGCTTAGGTAATTAAACTGCATGATCAAATTTTATGTTTTAATAGTTTTTATTGAAATTTTAAAACTATTTTTGTAGTTGCAATGTGCCATATTATTTCTAGCGATGGGAGTAGGTAATTTATAGAAACTATTTGCTGTTTGCAATGCTTTGAACATAATTTTATTGCATGTAATGATATTGCTTTAGATGATATGTAAAATACATATCAAACTGAAGATTACCGCATTATATAATTCTGAGAGCTTTTTTATTCAGACGTTCAATTATAAAATTATAACACTGTTGGAGAAAAAAATTCAAAAGAGATTTCCAAGTGGCATGATCTTTTGTAATCATTTGTTTTGAAGTTGCGCTCAAAATGATAATAGGTTTAAATATTTTGTAAATAAGACATGAGACTCATTCAAAATATATTACTACTGGTCAGGAAATGCAAATAATACAGAAATGCAGAGAAAATATCTTTCTATTAAAATACTAAAACTACGAAACACTGAATTTATCATTCCTCTTACAATTTTAATTGCATTTGCCCTTGGATGGATTTAGATACTGTAGGCCTTCAAGCACAAAACTGTATTGGGCACTCCTTTAGAAAAATCTTTTATTAACTAAAAAACACATATTATGACAGAATAAATCGTTGTACAAATTCAGATGTAAATTAACAAATTGATTACAAAGTGGAAGTTGCTTTTAAATTTATCATTTACAAATCCATGTTTAGTTTCTTATTGTTCCATTCAATTTATTTTTAAAATCAAACAGTGTAGTTCAGTAAATTATTTGATTAATGATTATTATTATTATTATTATTATTATTATTATTATTATTATTCCAATAAAACATGTAATGAAGCATTTAAGAATATTTATTTTAAGAGTCCCAAGCTTTCTTATTTTGCTAATAGGGAAATCCAGCTCTGCATTTAACTGTACCTTGAATGGTAGATATTAAGACCAGCAAAACAGTATTTCAACATTGAAACACATTATTCATGTGTTTCAAGCCACTAAAAAGCCTACTTCTAATACCTTTGTGAAGTGAATGCCCACCCAGTACCTCTACTCTCCAGGTGCTGATCTACGCTAATGATTGCTACTTTGAGTCGTGTGTAAGAGATCTTGCAAATACGGTGTAGAAGGCAATGACAATCCACTGTGCATCATGCATAATAAAAACGATAATATGAATTATTTTCTAATAATCAGTCATTCGAATAATCCAATAAATAAGCATTGTTCAGGAGCAAATGTCAAAGGCTGACATACGACACAATACGCAACAACATTGCTGTACTGAATGTATAATAAATTCTATAAACTCTCGAGATCACCCATTTTCTCAGAGAGAGTAGTATCAAAGTAATTCATTTGGAATATTAATTGAATTGTGATTTTTATTCAGATCGCACAAATCATTATATCTATCAAATTTCAGCCTTGCTGAATGTCTGGTTAAAATCAAAGGAAATGTTTTCCAAGGGTGAGGATCTTTTAATTGTTCCTAAAAGACCACGAAGAATGTAAGAGAAATGCAGAGGACTTGTCACTCGATTTGAATGAAGCGCGATGCTCGCGCGGAGTTGCGCGTCACAGTCCCGACTCTAGAAAGCGCGCGAACGTCTCCCTTTGGAGTGATTTAGGCTTAAAATTTTGTAAAATTCTCCCATTTGAAACGGTGGATGTCCTTTAAATTGCGCATATTAGTTCTTAGAGATGCTAGCTACGTAAAAGAGGGTTTTAAAAATATGTGCAACAGTTAATTTTCTCACATTTTTAAAATTTCAAGTCAGATTTGTCTAGTATACATAAGAGCCCATGTTAAAACAACAAACTTTACGGTCTCATTACGCGAAAACTACCCGGTAAAATGGATTCAGTCTCCACGAGAACGTAGAAGAACCCACATCTTTCGATTAATACGATAAAAAAGGCATGTCGAACGTAACACGTATCTCGCTCTATCCACCTTAATAAGTAAGCCCCGAGGATGGAATACAAATATTCTGAAACATCGGCAAACTAATGATTTAATTTTTTTTCTCACTCCGACCAAATCCTGTGAACTACATCCCTTATCCATTCACTATTCTTTGTATCAGATATATACGTAATATTATTTATAGCAAATCATATCTTACTAATAGCTCACCCAGCTCTCTCTTAAACTATCTTGAATTGAATTGAATTTGCCTTATTTTACGTGGCGAGACTCGGGCCATCAGGCCCGCTCTTCCGTCTGACCACGCAAATTTCGCTACGCTCCTTTCATCTAGAAGAGAAAGGAGGTATTTCTTGGGCGAGAAACAGGCGATTTTGAATTTAGCTCAGAGGCGTCATTTAGGGTTGAGGATCTTTTACATGCAAGTAAACCTACTAACATGGGACAGCCAGCTTTACTTCCCCTCCGAAGGAAGGCGTACGAAGGATTTTCTCGCCCACGGCTTCGATCGGGTTTGAACCCGCGAGCTTGGGTATAACAGTCCGGTACGCTAACCGTCACACCATCGCCATCACTATTTTCAGCTGAAGAGCAAAATATTTGAATTCGCAGTTTTCAAAATTTCGCAGCTTTCACAGAAAACTTTATGTGTATCAATTTAAAAGTGCACTCTTCTCTACTAGAGAAAAAAAATTCCCATGGGAGAGTGCGAATAGAATACCGGTTTTCATTCTGGTAAGCTAGCGCTGCAACACTTCAAACACGCGCCTCGTTCACGACAGATCTAAGGGCTCTTATACAATAGATTATACAGCTCAACAAAATACTCACATTTTATTTATAGTGACTCCAAAAATTAGTAATGTTTTGAAAAATATTCACGAAATTGATATTTAAAGATCTAATATTGAGTAAAATAGTGCGTTAAAAAATGAATCTCCAGCTTCAATGTCTTCGATTTGTGACAGATTCCAAAAAAAATGAACTATTGCAATTTTCAATATTCCTGAGGTTCTAATGAAAATCTGGCTCTTGCATCTTTATTAATATACATTTTACGATATATTTATTAATGTACCTTGCTCTGCTGGTGTAAAAATTTTTAAGAATATATTGGGAGCCGTTTTTGAAAAAAATCTAATGTATTTTTGAACTGTCACAATTCCACTCAAACGTACGCGAAATCTATTCCAAAACATACGATTTTTTCCGACCCTCGAGAGTTATTTTTTACGATATAAGGGCGTATGCGAGTTACGCTGTGTTTTCACGAAAATAAATATTTCTCGATGGATCTGACAGATATCGCGAACCTTCGAATTTGAAAAAGATGTTTTGATTTTGGGGTGCTATACATAGAACTCCTAAAAATGTTGGACCAACTACAATGGCATTTTGGGTTTATCTCAAAAAAGAAAGTATTGCAATGGCACGGCAGAAATCGGCGATTTTTCGACGGCAAATGGGACGCAGGTATCGAAAAAAAATGGGTAAATTTTGATCCTGTATGCAGTGCATTACTTCTTCTAACACGCTGTGTGCACAATGGACATGCAAATTAAGGCTAGTTTTCTGTTTCTAAGAGTAAACTGGAATTATTTTACATTGTAAAATGTATATGTGCTTCAAACGTTTAATATGCTTCGAAGGGTATAAAATTTCAAAATACTTACCTGGCAGCAAAAACTGTCGTGTTTGGGAATTCACAGGCTGAAATTGCTGGAAGCGCGGTCGTCCAATGTATATAATCTGTTTCCAGCATAAATTCAGGTGAATTGAAATCTCCGTGTTCCCAACAGAACATTACAGCGACAATTGCAGCACAGAGGAATGCCGTTAGTTCGAGCAGAGCGCGTATCCTGTAATGAGGGACAAGTGAGAAATAATGCTGCCAATTGGGATCAGACTCAGAGTAGAATTACATGGGGTCTCTAGCAGAAACTTCATATTGCCTCATCCCGTTTTAGTCTATTTTTACCATATACATTGGCTAACAAATTAGGAACTAGAGTTTCAGAAACATTCAATCAACTTGCAGAAAAGAAGAGCACTTTTACTCGTTAGTCTAGATATTGGTATTTGCGACGTCAACAGCACCCAGAAATAAGTGGTGGAAGATTTAATGGGCATCAGCATTAAGTGGTTATCTATTGTTATTTCCCGAATAATGCCATGAGAAGTTTTCATTGATAGAGTAAATGCCACGTTTGTCTGGCCTGAAACAGACGTTAGAGGCAGGTGTGCTCATGTACGCGTTACAGCAAAACTGTGGGTTCGAATTCCACGCAAAGCATGTATGTTTTAATTTATGATTATTCCAGCGTCTCTTTTATCATTCTTAAAACCGTATCTTGCCCCTATCTCTAGGCAATACCCGGTAATGATAAAGAAGTTCTGTGTCATGCTGTTGGTCAAAGACTTACTATCGGGAACAGCCCCCTATTCCCGTACAAAAGTTTAATCACCGAGACGATCCACGAGCTACCTCCTCCATAATGAAAGGTTCCAGCTGAGATGTGCCTAAGGGTTACTAAGGGGTTGAACAGGGAAGGAGAGGGCCGTCCTGATTTGGGTGTGGCCTAGACGAGACGAATGGGCACATAATGCCTCTGAAGGTTTTTAAACCTTGCCAGATGGCAGCCGAACAAAGGGTGGAATATAGTTCTTAGATTCTTCTTCTTCTTACGAATAAGCCCAATTGGGAATACGCAAAGTACTCAGATGTGTTTCTTAGCCTTTCTTTGTGCCCATATTCCTTTCATCCTTTGGCGGTGCGCCTTTTTTCCCTTTTCGCTCCAAGCTTTTCCAGTTCTACACTTTGGTACTTCTTCCTAATCAATCCGCCATGACTGCACTTTAGATCTGCGTGTGTTCCTATTTTGAATATCTTCTTCTGTGATCCCTGATAACTTAAGGTTCTTTTTAATTTCGTTGATCCGTTTTATAGTACCAGTTGCTGTTTTACTTATTATTATTGTTATTATTATTGTTGCTGTTATTATTATTATTATTGTTATATTTATTACTGGCAGAAGTAGTAACTTAGTAGTAGAAACAGTAACTTGCTGAACGATATTTGCACAGTCCCGAAGGGCTTCACACTCCCCAGATTTAAAGAGTAGTATATTCCTTTGAATTGTCGATTCAATTTTATATCCAATTGTTGGGAAGATCTGTGGTTGGCTGCAACAAATCAGCCGAAAACCAGTACTTATACTTGTACATGTACTTGAAAATCACTGTAACGCCCGCAATAATTATCATTCCTCCTTAACCCCTGAGAGCTGAGAGGGCCATCATCTAGGGACTCAACGGACAAGCAACTGTTTAGGTAGATCCGAAGACGAAAATGTTCCAGTAGCTTCAGTGACGGCTATTGACTTAAAAAGCTGGTGGTTCACACACACAAAGTGATGATACAGTAGCAGATAAATTTCTCGCATTATTTTTAACTTTTGAAGTTTTCGAATATTCAAAGAGTACAAAGAAAATGTGTCTCATGCAAATTAAAGAAAAAATTGGAGCACTTTAGAATTTTTTTATAAATGCATTAAATTTAGACCGAAATTACGCTAAAGTCACTCGCTAAAAATATGTGCATTAACTTTTTTAAGGATCTAATTTTTTTAAGAACAGATTTTATTACACAAAAAATCTCAATCTTCAATACTGTACTTTTGCGAAGTTAATTTTTCCCCAAATTTAAAAAAAAATGTTGCGGAGAGTTCCCAGAAAATGGGATCAGTACCACTTTCCTTATCGTTCTTATCTGCGTACAAGGATATAATTTAATGAAAAAAATTAGAACATTTTTTTGTTGAAATTTTTCATAAATTGCATAATGAGAGAACTCATACTGATCTAGCACCATTGGAGTTTTTTGGAACAGTAGTAGGTTGAAGAGGTTTCACATAATACATTGATAATTAAATCCTGCAACTCAGCACCCGTGAATTTAAGCCCTTACTTAAATTTCGAAATTTTATGAGAACTACTCATGTAACGACAAATGTGTTTGAAGATGAGGTGAGTTAACTCATGCCACTCGAGTGAGCAACTCGAGAAGTTGCTAAATTTTTACATACCAATTATTTCTCACATAAAACTGCAATTTAATACGTGACGAATCGAGCAAATTGGCTCAGTGCATAGCGCGCCGGATTTTCAATCGGGAGATCGGGGCGCGATCCCCGAGTCGGCCATTTCGACCGGAGGTTTCGTGATTTCCATCGGTGACAAGGCGAATGCTGGGATGGTTCCAAAAATTCCACGAACATCTCCCACTACCCCAACTAACACCTCCTACCATCATCCGAGACCTTTCACCCATCATCACCCAATAATAATAATAATAACAATAATAATAATAATAATAATAATAATAATAATAATAATAATAATAAACCATCATCCTATCCCCCCTGAATTGGTATTCAAGGATATCTTGTCTTAACCTGCCGCTTATCGCTTCTCAGTTTCCATCTCTTCTGATCTTCCCAGCCTCCATCTTTTCAAGAAGAAGTGGAGGTATCCTGCCTCCATTTCTTCTTGGGTGACCTTTCTCCGCCGCTTCTTCCGCTCTCGAGGGGTCCAAGCCCAGATTTCTTTGTCCAGCTACTGCTTCCCATATGCTGGAGATGTCCATAACAATTTAATCGTTTTGTTCCAATTGAATCTAAGATGCTGCTACATTCATCATTTGCCTTATTGTTTCATTTCTAATACGATCCAACCTGGACACCCAGGAGCACCTTCTCCAGTAGTCACTTTCAAGGGCCATCAACCTACATTTATCTCTTTTGTTCAATGTCCATATTTTAGCTCCGTGTGTACTTATGCTCCGTACGATGGCCTTAACGATATAAGCCTTCTCCCGTTTTGTGAAATTTTTGCTCCAGAGAATAGAGTGTAATTGTCTTATCGCTCTTTCCCTGAACTATCTTGTTGGAAATTTCATCAGAGCTTCTTCCCTTCGAGGAGAGGTAACTCCGAGGTACTTAATGGTTTCATGTTATTTAATTTTTCTTGTAGCAATGTTCAGATCCCCATATTCTTTATCTCCTGATATCATATATTCCTGTTTTTAAAGATCTATAGTGAGACCACATGGTTCATACTACTTTTGTAATTTGCGAAACATGTAACTGGCACCATCTGCGTCTCCAGCCATGACCACTGGATCATCGACAAACAGCAGAGTGTACAGTACATCATTTTCTATTGGCAATCCCATTCCAACACACTCTTTTCCGACTTGTAAGCGCTTCTTTAAGATAAATTTTAAATGAGTGGGACTCTTGAGCATTCTTGTCTTAACCCCTTCTTCGCTTGAAATTCTGGGGAGAGTCGTGTTCCTATTTTGACAGATGTTATTATCACTATATAATCCATTGATCGCATTGATATAGGCTTGTTCAATATCACCTTCTTTCATGCTTGGTCATAACTTATTTAATAGCATTGTGTCGTATGTCTTTTGTAAGTCAACAAATTTGAGATGGACATTCTTTCCTCTTTCAACATGTTTTTCTATTAGTTTTTTTTAATGTGAAAATACCATCAATACAAGACCTTCCTACACTGAATCCATTCTGTTCCTCCGATTCTGTATAATGATCATCAATTCTACGTTTTATGATCCTGCAGTAAAGTCTTGCTGTTGTGCACAAAACGCTTATCGCACGATAGTTGTTGCAGTCTCGCCTACTTCCTTTCTTAATACATTTATTTATTTACTGTCAAAAATCATTTAAACACTGTGTGCGACGTGTCATAGGAGACGTGGATCCTTAGCGCGTTGTCTTAAATTCTGGGATCTTTACACTTACCCATATACAAGTTGGACACAATTTTCCAGAGCACGTTCAAAGGAAGAAGGTTGGATGTGATATTGTGGGTAGAGATATTGATCACGAAACAAATACCAAAAATAATAATTTAAGACGTTCATGCTGTCTACATTTTCCCTCAATAATATATGGGGATATTCCTTGTTTTCTCAGTTAAATAGTTATTAATGCACCGAGGGCGTTATAAGGGCCCTAAAGGTCGAACGGCGAAATAAAGTCCGAGGGCTTTATTTATCCGCTCGATCTTTAGAACCCGTTAACGCCCGTAGTACATATATGAATGTATTTTTTACCTAATTTTAATTATTCATATTTACTTATTTATTAATTAACTAGTTGCCAACTTACACTCGGTTTGTCATTTCATATTTCTCTCCCATAATTCCCTCCGTACGAATACATGAAGCGACATTCAACTGTTTTCGCATTTCCCCGGTAACTATGAACCTCTCGATATAGGTAAGTTATGTACTGAATATTGAACTCTGTACCGAAGGCAATAACAAGCAATAACGTATCAGGAAAAAATAAAATGAAGTATGAGTCGAATGAATCATTAGAACGTCATTAATTTTTTCAGAATCATTATTGCTCTCTTTTAAAGTAAGATATATCACCTGCATTTAAATTCCTTTGACATGCTAAATTTCCAGCAAAAAACAAAATATTCTCGCTATTGCCACCATTCGAAGCTAACTGCAGTTTTCATTCTCACTTTTCCTCACAATTTGTACTCCTTGTTCAGACGTTTACACTTCGCAGCATCTTTAATTTTGCGTTTTATATTTGAAATCGTGACTCAACAGGCGGAGTCGTAAGTTCTCAGCGCCAGACACCCGGCTTTCTCGGTCGTGTACACCTCGCTCTTGACGTCGAGGCGAGCGAAAACCTGACGTAGTACGCCGCCATCTAGCGGAATTTGTATTAACTTCCGTGGTGCTCGAGCGAAATCTTCTCGCGTAGGACTCTAGGTAATTACAGACACTTTCTAAAGTGAACTAGATTGCAAA